GAAGCCATCAGCATTAAGCTTGGTTTTGTACACCCATTTGACTCCAATTACTTTTTTATTTTGGGGTCGATCAACCAACTCCCATGTTTCATTCCTTTCAATCATGAACAGCTCTTCTTTCATTACAGCAATCCAATTTTGATCTGTCTTGGCTTCTTCATAATCTGTAGGTTCACACACAGCAATATTGCATCTTTGATAAACATCAGAAAGTAGTTTTGTACCTCTGATAGGACTGTCATCCACCATTTCATTCTCTCAATCTCCAATGCTAGGAAACTTGAGCTTGTGCTCTTTTAAGTTGGATCCATCTTTTTTGCATCATCCTAGTTCTACTCTTCATCTTCCATAAAGTGCACATCCCTGCTTATAATAATTTTTTCAGTTTATGGCTGGAAAATTTTATAAGCTGGATCCATCTTTTTTGCATCATCCTAGTTCTACTCTTCATCTTCCATAAAGTGCACATCCCTGCTTATAATATTTTTTTCAGTTTATGGCTGGAAAATTTTATAAGCTTTTGCAATTAAGCTGTAGCCAATAAAAATGCCTAGAAATGCTTTTTTATCTAGTTTATCTTTTTTGATCTGTGGAACATGAGTGAAGCACAAACATCCAAATATTTTAAGAAAATTCAATATGGTTTATAACCATACCATGCCTCAAAGGGTGTTTGATCCTTCACTGCTCTTGTGGGAAGCCTGTTTTGCAAAAAAAAAGTAATATTTACTGCTTCAACCTAAAATTGCTTTGGCAAGTTCTTCTCATGTAGCATACATAGTGTCATTTCTAATAAGAATCTATTTCATCTCTCACTTACTTCATTTTGTTGTGGAGTGTATGGAGCGGTTAATTGATGTTAGATGCCTGGCTCTTCTCAAAAATGAGTGAATGCTTCAAAGGTATACTATTTGTCATTGTTTGATCTGAGAGTTTGAATTCTATAACCAGTCCCGTTCTCAACTCTGGCTTTAAAGTTTCAGAAGACTTGAGCCACCTCTGACTTGTACTTTAAAAAAAGATCCAACACATACGGGTGAAATCATCAATGAATGCAACATAATAAAACTACCTTTCAGAGAAGACGTTCTTTGTAGGCCTGCAATGTCAGTATGAATTAATTGTAACTTCTTTGATGCTCTCCATGTTGCCTTGGGAAATGGTTTCCTACTTTGCTTTCCAAACTGACATGCTTTGCAGTTTGGAATATGATCATCAAGTTCTGGATAATCATTTACCATATTTTTAGATTTCATCTGTAACAGCCCCTAATGATGATAATGCCCGAACCTTTTGTGCCATACTTCAGTGATTTTTTTTTATTGGGAAAGCAGTTTGCTCCTCCTCTAATAAATTTAGAACAAAGCTTTTCCCTTTCATTTTTACTTTGAAAATATCTTGGCCAATTGCATCTTTAATCAAGTAACTTTATCTTCGAACACAACTTTATAACCCTTTTTCAATTAGTTGTCCAACACTTAACAAGTTTTGATCAATTTCAGGGACATATAATACATCAAAAATAAATTTTGTACCTGAACAAATTGAAATTGCAACTGTTCATTTTCCCTTCACAGTTATGTACTTGCGATTACCAACTCGAACTTTCGATGAGTTTGCGCTGCTTAGTTCCCTGAATAGATCCTTGTCATGTGTCATGTGTCATGTGGTTAGTACAACCCCTATTTATAAGCCAACTCTCACTTGATTCGATGCCAGAGAAACATGTAGCTACGAACAGGTGATCTTCCTCCTCTTGATCAGCAATCTTTGCATCTTCACCATGTTACAAAATTTGTTTTTACAGATAATAGCTTCATGCCCCATCTGATTACATTAGTGCATTTTAGCATCAAGGTCTTTTCCAGCATCTAAATGGAAGATGACCCTTCTTTCCACAATGTGGCAAGGTGAATAGGATTTCTTTCTGATTTTCATTCTTTTCTTTTGCATTGGCTGATGCAGTATTTGCCCCATTTCCTTCAAAATCCTTTTTCTTTTTCTTTTGCTTTTGGCCACATTTTGATGCTTGACTGTCAAAGCTCCTTCAATTGTTGTATCTTCCCTCATCAGTCTTCTTTGTTCTTGTGCTTGCAAAGCGTTAAGCAATTCTGTTAAAAAAATTTTTGACAGATCCTTGATTCTCCAGGCAATGATGGTTGCCTTCATATTTTTCAGGTACTGTAACAAGAATTTTTTTTACAATTCTTGAGTCAATAAATTCAGACCAATAAGCCTTACTTTGTTTGCGATACTCAGAAGCTTATCGGAGTAATCTTTAATTGTCTCGGAGTCTTTCATTCTTTGAAGTTCAAATTCCCTTATCAAGTTAAGGATTTGCATCCCTTTAATTCTTTCATCTCCTTCATATTCATTCTTGAGATAATCGCATATCTCTTTTGCTAACTTCAGAGACATGATACGAGTGAAGATGATGGATGAGACTGCAGCAAACAAGCAGGCATTTGCTTTTGATTTCTTTGTCTTCTTTTCTTTTTTGTGCTTTAATCTGTGCCATGGTGGGATTGTTTGGAAGTGCCAAGAATTTCATAGTCTTCTTCCACTACTTCCCAAAGATCTAAAGCTTTCAAGTATGTCTCCATACGTACTGCCCCAAATCTGGTAGTTGTCTCTGTCGAACACCGCCGGAGCAATTGCAGAAAAACTGGCTTCAGCTTCCATGACGCCGTCAATTTCACACACAAATCCCTTAAGAAGAAAGCTCTGATACCAAATGTTGTTATTTTTGAAGCAAAGAAAACTTTACTCACTGTTGCATTTCTTAACATCAAAAACATTACAATTTAAAGCCTAATTAATAACTACCCACTAAATCATAATCCTAAGATTAAACCATGACCACCAGCATGAATAACAAAAAAATAACCAACACCAAAAAAACAGGAACAACATGAAACATTCAATGAATCCACATTAACAGTCCTAAACATATCTTCTAACAGTTTGGATGCCCACAAGGCGGTGGCTTCGAGGCATTGCAATTTTGCAAGCAGCATCCAGAAACTGCTTGGGGTATTTTCCTCTATTGCCTCCGCAGTGCTGTTGGCCAGAATTTCATTTTCCTGACCATAAGTCGATTTGGCTCCTTGGCAAACGCCACCATTACCACCACAAGCAAGTCTGTCAGCATGCATCGTAGTGTCTTCTCTGCTGAGTGGCAATCCGCTGTTACAAAGCAAAGGGTTGTGTTGTCATGGTCTTCTCTGGATTGTCATACCCTCAAGTGGAGGAAATTGCAGACATCGCAGAAAAAGAAAAAGGCCTGAAGGGGCCGGCCCGTAAGAGTTTTGAGCTTTACATTTAACTCTTTTCTTTTTTCCCCTCCGTATTTTTTTAACCGTCCCCTTGTTGTATACAACCATTGCAGCCCGAAGGAAAATGTGAACTTAATGAAACAAAGTTTTTTTTTTTCCTTACTCCCATTAGCAAAGCCTCTTTCCTTTATGGTAAGGTGGGGGGCAGGAGAGGTAACGGGTAAGGGTAACCGTTGCATATCATCAATTGAATAGCTACTAACTACTATTATTTCACTCTGCAATGATAACAG